AAGGTAAAGAACCAAGGCTGAGAAAGAAAATACTTGACTGAGGATTCCCAAGGGCAAATTTTACTTCAACCACAACTATGCTAATTTTAATGTGCTTAACTCTGTTATTAAGTCATATAATAAGAGAGTGAAGTACTTTGGGTTCGAAGGGAAAAATAGTTCTTTTAGAACTTATCACCTCAGTTGGCATATATACCTGGCGCTAAAATCTTGATCTTCATTTTGTAATGTACTTGACTGATTATTGCCAAGTTTCTTTGGCAACATTATTGAGCTTGAGTCAGTATTATTAAGTGCCTGTTTTAATTTGGTCAGCAAAAAGGTGTCCTATGTACTTCAGTCATAATGGCTTGCTATCAGAGCAAATTTCCTTAGCTTTCTTAACTCCTTAAATTTTCATCACTTAAATACTATAGGCATCTAGAATGATTTCTTGCTACATTGTGGTGTATAGTTAATAGCTTGCATGCTTTTCTTTAACTTTATTATTTAATGTCTAACAGCTGCCTTGAATTCTGTTTTAAAGTGACTAGCACACATTTTAGTCTTTTAAATAAATATAGACTAAAAGAAATTCACGTGCATGGGCAGTATTTAAAAAATGGTTTATGGTTTATGGTTTTATTATTTATAGGCCGCCCTTTTCCTTGAGGGGACTCAGGGCGGCTTACAATATATAGGGAGGGGAGTACANTCAGGGACAAACTCCCTTTGGCTTTCACCGCTGCTGCATGCCTCAGGCGCTTCCTGGTGGCTAACCAGCCTCTCTGGTACCTGCTCGGAGTCTGAACCCTGTCCAGGGTCCTCCACATCTTCCAGAGCCGACTCATAGGGCCCCTCGCTATCAGAGTCTGTTTGCAACTCCAACGGCTCCTGCTGGGCCACAACACCTATCTATTATCAGTGTAACTTTTGAACCAAATGTTCATTCCTAAATTCTGTATTTTGTAGTGATTAAAACAGATACAAAAATGTTTATTCTTCTGCATGCATTTTACTCTCAAATTTCCTTTTTGCACACATTTTTTCCTATAAAAAACCATAACAAATAAATATACTGCAACATCTGAAGAAGTGCACAAATCAAAGGATAACTGTTCTGATTCACATATTAGTCAAGGAAATGCAAATCAAGATGGTTCAGTTAATCACAGACTAATCATAACTTCTGAATTTCCCTAAAGCAGATTATTCATCTCTTTCTTGCTCTTCTCTTCATCATATTTCCCTCTCTTTCACCAGTCATTTACATCATGCTCCCACGGCAGCAGCCAATCCAAAGTCTAACAATATAGGGTTTGTGTATCCTAAAATCTAACAATATAGAATAAATTAAACATATTGGAAGAAGCATTTCAAATTCTAAAAACAACGTTTCCTCAAGTAACCCACTGGTGACATCAAGTGGAATAAGCTAACTATGAAAAGTAAACATAAACATGTGAGCTGAGGCCTGCTGAATCAGATCATAGACCTATATAGGCCAATATTTTGTGTCAGCCAATAGGCAAAGTAATGTATTTGGGATGCTCACAAGTGAGACTGAAGAGCGATAGCCCACTTTTCAGCAAACAGTATTCAAGACTTCCCGCTTATCAGTAGTTATTGCTCACCTATCTTAGAACATAGAGTAATAGAATTGGAAGGGACCTTTGAGGTCTTCTAGTAGAACCGTCTGCCCGAGCAGGAGACCCTATACAATTTCAGCTTGTCCAGCCTCTTTTTGAAAGCCTCCAGTGATGGAGCACCCACAACTTCTGAAGGCAAGTTGTTCCATTGGTTGATAGCTCTCACCATTAGAAAATTTCTCCTTAGTTCTAGGTTGCTTTTCTCTTTGATTAGTTTCCATCCATTATTTCTTATCTTGCTGTAGAAAATAATTTGACCCCTTTATCTCTGTTATTGATTGGAACACTGCTACCATGTCTCCCCTAGTCCTTCTTTTCATTAGACTAGACCAGGGATGTCAAACTCGATTTCATTGAGGGCCACATCAGGGTTGTGTTTGACCTGAGGGGGGCAGGGCGTATGGCCAGGATGGGTATGGCCAGCTTAATGTAACTCATGTTGGGGGCACTTATGGTGGCCCGAGCCAGTGAAAACAGGCTTCTGAGTTTATGGCCTGGACAATGTCCTACAACCCTTTGCCAGCAAAAACGGAACTTGGGGGGTGCGCATGGCCCTTGAGAGCTCTGTTTTCACCTAGAATGGCCTCCTGCAATCCTCCACTAGCAAAAATTGAGCACACGGCCCTTCTGAGCTCCATTTTTTCTGGCAGAGTTCCCACAAACTGGTCATTTGCAGTTTTTAGGGCAGCCCCGCCGCCAGAACTAAGCTCCTTGTGGGCTGGATCTGGCTCCCGGGCCTTGAGTTTGACACCCCTGGACTAGACATATCCAATTCCTGTTTTAGCGTCCAGTCCCCTAATCATTCTTGTTGCTCTTCTGTACACTTTTTCCAGAGTCTCAACATCTTCTTTATATTGTGGTGACTAGAACTGGATACAGTATTCCAAGTATGGTCAACTTCCATGATTCTATCCAGCCCTCTTTTATAACCATCCAAATCGATTGCCACTATCATGCAGGCTGGTGATAAATTCTACAATACAGCTGTATTTCAGTGTGTATGGAATGACAACCCTCCCCTCCATCCCAAGTCCTGCTATGCTGCCTCATCATTGCAGGGTTGGGTGTTCCTGAGAGGAGGGATGAATACAGAATGCTAAGGGTATATGACAAGAGTAGATATTTCCATCAGAGTCACCCAAGGTATGAAGGTCATCCTATTGCCCCAGGTAAAGCAAGCTTAAACAAAGATGATTAAAAACTAAAGAAATAAATCAGGCCTATATAAAAGAAAAATCCATCCTATAAGTCAGAATAACAGAATTGGAAAGGACCTTGGAGATCTTCTTGTCCAACCTCCCGGGGGACGGAGCTGCAGCCGGTGCAGCTGGAGCGTGTTCGCAGCAGTGCCTCCCGGTTTTATTTTATTTTATCAATTTTTAGTACTCCTATTGGATCCTTTTTATTTAATTAACATTTTTGATGGAGATAACAGTGTAGAACATAATACAAACAAAAACTTTTGTTGCTGCCGAGAATTTAAAAAGCATAGGAAAAAGAAAGAAGCGCCATGGCACCAGCCCAGGATCTCTCCCTCCAGTGAAGACAGCAAAACAACCAAGAATTGAGGAACTCTTTGTTGGCAAGAGATCTGTAAGTAAAACTAACCCCCCCCCCATTCCCCAAAATCTGGAGAGATTAGAACGGGACCGGCAAAAGAGCATTTACTAGACTTTCCCAATCTGGCAGGGGGGGGGACAAACTGAAAGCCAGCTCTTCTCACAAACAACTAGCCCAATAACTTCCTATATGGAGGCTGAGCTAAAGGCAACCAACAACTAGATAATTCAGAGTACGGAGAGTTTACCTTGGGAAAATTCAACTGAGTTTATGGCAAAGCAATGCCTTCTCACA